TGCTCATGGCTCGCTTATATGACTGTGTATGGTTTTCTATAGTCTAGGCAGACGTATAGAAGCTATTTGCATGCTAAAATGGTTGGCAGGGATAACGATTTCATTGAATTTGGTGGCTACTGACTTCGCTTATAGGGGCCTATTGTCACTACAGCGTTGCTCTGCCTGCTACTTTTGCATATAATAATACGTTTGGCTAGTCTTGTATGCGAGATGAGTTCTATTGGGCTTGTCTATGCAGTGCATAATTGATTGACACGATCAATGATCGGCGTAACAATGCTTACCTATCAATAATATACTAACGGTGCCAATGGTCCACTGAGGGAGAGGCCTCTCGAATGGTTGCGCCACAGAATGATCCTGTATGCCGATCTCGTCTCGTCTCGCAAGAGGCAGGGATGGGTGTGTTTGGTTCTCCTGAAAACCAATACCCAGTCAATGGATGTATCACTGTGTGAATAAATTATAATAATGCTAATATTACTACTTCTACTAATTCTACTACCGCTAATAGTACTAATAATACTATTATTACTGATACTACTAGTACTACTACTATTACAGTTGTCAATGTAGTTAACTGTCAATGTAGAATGCGATTAAGTAATTCTTTAGTGTTGATTTTTTCAACACACAGTCTCATAACAGATTCTACATTTAGGTATTAGGTACTTGAAATGCAAATTTTAACCAAAAGAGAGAAAAGCAACAAAAACAGCTTAAATGTCAATCCATACACATATACAATAAGTTGAAAGTTTTAGGTGTGCTGAATGAGAAGTCAGTAATGACAGATCACTGTGTCATTGGGATAAGATATTGACGCTTTTTGGGGAGAAAGAAGGCACTGTCAGCACAGTGGAGAAGACTAATGATGAAAAAGCAAAGTGGGGCAAACATGATCTCGTTAAACATAAATTATTAAATGACAAAGATGAAATGTGATGACAGTTGTTGTAAATTAAGAAGAAGAATTTGTTTTTCTTTTCAAAAAAATTTTATTATTTTTCCCTTTTTTAGTTCTCTTCATTTTTAAACAAGTATGAAAAAGGGCAGATATTTGACCAGCAGTATAAGCGCCTGTCAAATTTTTGACTTAATGTAAAAAAAAAAGCTTAGAGAATGAACAAGAAGAATTCTGGGCATAATTTTTCAACTTAACGAGTTTGTGCATGTATAGCAAAAAACAGCAACAACAACAGAATATGCCTCAGAGGAAAACTACGTCTTAAGACTGAAGCACACAGGCACACACAGTAGACAAATGGGGTTTACAGGTAATGTATGTTGGTCAAGTGAGTGAGTCATTCCTTACCGAGATATGGTTATGATAAATGAATATGTTGCTTCGTATGCGATAAATTGCCTAACCTCACTCTGATTAAATAACAAACGAGGTCGACGAACAACTAACTAATGGCAGTCAAGTTCGATAATACCTCAGGTAGCCTGCCTCGTGAAAATGCTGACAGTGAACATACTATGTGAAGGCTGAAAAGTTGACAAGATATTCACATGGCCATAACTGATAATACTCAGACATTCATTCCCCTTAATGAATTTGAACAAAGCAAGAACTACAGTTTCAGCAGAATAAAATGGTACCATCTTTTATTTCGTTGCCTTCTCGTCAGCTGCTTACAGGACTAAGACATTATTAAATGTATCTACAAAAACAATTTTAACACACTTGCACAGAGTTCATTCTAAACAAAAATCAATCGACCAATATACGCATACACTAATAATATATACACATATACATGCAATATTAAACACAATTCCGGACATTAATGATCATACACAATGGAAACCTTCCAGCATCTCGCATTCGGATGAAAGAGAGATGAAAATATCCAGTTACCAGGGCAAAGAGAGACTGATAACCGCGTCTTTCTTGACGCATAAATCAGGTTTCAGGTGCTTGATGGAAATGGCTTCAGCAAACTTAAGGAGAATTGAGCTCTTTTGCTTATTGACAATTTTGAACGACTTTTCGACGTCCGCCTCATGACCCGTGTCGAGTAGATGCCTGGCGATGGCAATGTTTAAAGCATTTGTTCGCTTTAGACGTAAGATTTTTGGTATTTGTTTAGAAAATCGTAGATATACCCTTCTTTCAGTTCTTCCAATGTAACTGCTCCAGCAGATAAATGTCTAGTCAAGACTCTGTATTATAGAGCGAGGAGAATATGCTCTATAGAGAAATTAGAGGAAGAATTTGATTTTCTTGAAAAGATATTGAAGTGCAATGGGTACCCTCTAAGGTTCACCAACAAGTTTGGAAGATCTGAAGTCACAAATGTAAAACAAATCACAGTAGGAAAAAAACCAGTCTACTTTCAGCTTGATTATAAAGGTGAAAACATTGCAGCGATGATCAATAGAAGGCTGAGCACATCACTAGCCATAGCCTATCCTGCAGCTAAGCTCGTCCCCGTCTGTCGAACAAGTTGCTCTTTGGTGCAATCGAGAATCGATAGATATCCTTCTCATGTTAACTCCAACTGTATATACAAATTTACATGTATCTGCGGGAGCAGTTACATTGGAAAAACAGGAAGAAGAAGGGTATATCTACGATTTTCTGAACATGTACCAAAAAGCTTACGTCTAAAGGGAACAAATGCTTTAAACAGTGCCATCGCTAGGCGTCTCCTTGACACGGGTCATGAGGCGGACGTCGAAATTCGTTCAAAATTATCAATAGGCAAAAGAGCTCAATTATCCTTAAGTTTGCCGAAGCCATTTCCATCAAGCACCTGAAACCTGATTTATGCGTCCAGAAAGACGTGGTTATCAGTCTTTCTTCACCCTGGTAACTGGATATTTTTCATCCGAATGCGAGATGCTGAGAAGTTGTCATTGTGTATGATTATTATTGTTCGGAATAGTGTTTAATACTGCATATATATATATATATATATATTAGTAGTGTACGCGTATATTGATCGATTGTTTTTTGTTTAAAATGAACTCTGTGCAAGTATGTTAAAATTGTTTTTGTAGATACATTTAATAATGTCTTTGCTCTGTAAGCAGCTGACGAGAAGGCGACAAAATAAAAGATGGTACCATTTTATTCTGCTGAAACTGTAGTTCTCGCTTTGTTCAAATACTGAGACAATCGGATAATTCAAATTAACAGATTCTAGTTTTGTAAGCATTTCGTGGAAAAACGATATCAGCTAAATTAGTTATTTGCAATCACAGAGAAATACGAATAGCTTTGTTGTACAAGTAAAGACTTTCCAGGGGCAGGCGAGTAAAAAGCACACCACATAGCTCGAACCCAACTCCATCAGGTTACTAGACAAATAAATTTATTATCCACCTATTCCCGCTGTGTAGCATCAATGCTAACTTGGTTTTGAGTGTACAGTGATGCAAAGTCATAAAATAAGGCAAAAAAGCCGTTAAAACGCTACGTCTTTTTCACTGTTTTCTTGATTGATTTCGCGTTATTAAAGTTCATAGAATTCTTGTACATATACTGGAGAACTCTTTGGTAGTGAAATATTTCAATAGATTTACCAAAAGGAAATTAGTTGGTTTTGAAGTAAAACTTGTTTCTTTTTAAAAAAAAACTGATACTAATTAGTCGATTATTTAGAACATTTGCTTTTTTGTGATGTTTGTAGGACAAAACAATGACTTTTCGATTCATATTCAAAGGCATTTTATGCGTTGCTAAGTAATTTTATTGATCAGAAAACACATTTAAAAGTGGCGCTTCTATAAAAATCATACGGTGAAAACTAAAACACTCGTTAACAGACTTTACAACCGTAGATTTCACTTTCAGATAAGGAGAATTTTTTCCCTGGCTTACATTTTGTGAATGAGGCAAAAATTATAAATGAAAAATTATTGATCAATCACCAAAGTGAACACAGTGTTACGCGTTTGGTCCTTGGTGTTTGTGCAGTTTAAATTCTGAGTCAAATATGCAATGAGTTCACCAAGCAGGGTGACTTGCAATCGTCGTTCACAAAGAATTGATGCTTCGACTAACATCAAGGACTAGACTTGTGATGGTGCTTACTCTTTGGTGACCAATGAGTGCATTTATTGCAGTCCTACAAGAAGTCAGCAGTGAGGTCGAATAGCCTTGTGGTAACGTCTGTGACTTCAGTAGTGTATATCGAATATCATGAAAACTGGAAGATCTACAGTAACAAACCAACCAGCAAGGTTGGAGAATAAGCAGCCGGAAAAGGAATTCAGGTGAACATAGAAAAGACATATGTGATGAAAATTTCCAAAAAACAACAAAAGACACCAGTCACTACCAACGTAAGTAATCTGAAGGAGTACATTTCTTTCACTTATCAGGGGAACATTATTTCAACTGCAGGCAATACAGATAGGGTTGTCTAGGTTAGGACTTTGAAAATGCAAAATAGACCTCCGTTAATCTAGTACAGTCAGCAAAAGAAACAAAATTTAGATTCTTAACATTAATTTCGAGTCAATCAGTTCATTCATGTAGATTAAAAACTCAGAGTGCCATCAGAAGCGCGTGAAAGTGAAAATCAGATGGCCAGAAACGATGAGATACAACAAGCCCTAGCTACAAACTACCGAATAGCAGCCTGTTGCTCAACAAATATTCTGAATGAAATGGAGATGGGGTGAATACTCACTAAAGAAAGTATCAAGTGATGTCAAGTGTCCTACCCTCGAACTGGAATGGAATAAGAAACGATAGATTGAGCATCTGAGAGTGACATGGTGGATATTCTGTGAGGGACAGATGAAATCGTATAGACAACCGCTGGGCTGAGCAAAATGAACTGCAGAGAACTGTAGAGTAAAATGGAGATACGTTGCTGAAGGTACATTTCCTGCTAAAAACCCAATGGAATAATAATAATAATAAAATGACAATTTACACAAAGTATAAATAACTTTGAAAATAAATTAGCCTAAACAATTAACTCTTTCTGTGGTGTAAATAATAATGAAATAGTAGTTAATAAAAAAATATGTCTTACCTTTACAAGGTGCCAGTACATCGAGTGGTGAACGAAACACACGTGTATCACATCCATTCGGATGTCTCATAGCTGAATATGATCTAACGCCTATAGATTTCCCTGAACTGATATGCTTATCACATTTACCGTGTTTATTTTTCACAGCGCTACTACTATTATTGCTATTATTAGTAGTATTACTAGTACAGCTATGTTGTTGCTGTTGCTGCTGCCATCGATGATAATTATGATAATGGGAATGACGATCTCCCCTACAAATAGATACCGGTGAAGAGGAAACTCTTACAGTCAGTTGATTTGTTGATGACGAATAATCATAAGGTGAAGATAATATATCTGTAGCAGGTTTTGTTGAATTAGATCCAATTGAATTTGGTGAATCTAATCGACGTAAGTGGAAAAATGAACGTGATCGGAGTGGGAAATCACGATGATTGGTAAAATCTGAATTACTACCCATATTGTTATTATTATTATTATTACCATTATTAGTAATAGCATTAGCGACAAAGTCATCTACTTTTTGATTTTCTAAGGAAGATGAAAGACATTCACTCGATGTAAGTAAATTACTTCTATGATCATTAAAAGTAGAATGATTTGATAATGCTCTGTCAACAGGTTGTACTGATTCCTCATTTGTAATGAGATGATCATTTTGGCTCATAGAAGCATGATTTGACATGTCACGACTGTCTAGATTATAGATGTGTTTATTGGGTTGACTTGTAGTCAGCGTTGTCATTACTGCTGTTTTCGTTACTGCTGTTGTAGTAGTGGGAGACTGTGTAGGAGTTAGTGAGTCTAGATGGTGATAGTACTCTGTTTCTGAGTTCTTACTTCGATAATTCTGAACATCTGAAGATGTCGCCATGGCACTTGATACAAGTGATGATGGAGCAGCACTGAGTGAGTTATTATATTCCACAGATTGTGTCGGTGAACAGCATGTATTCCCTGAGTGTTCTTCCTCCGTTAAATATTTTAAACATTTATTATTGAGAACTGTTACAGGATGCGGCGTACTTAACTGTATTTCTGAAGTATTCGATGATAGTTGAGGTAGGCAAAGATTTTCAGGTGTATTTGATGAATGACACAATGAAAGAGGGATAAGCGCTAACTCAAAACTATCGTCTGTTTTGACACAATTTTTATTTAACCTTTCTGGAGTTAATACGTTTAGATTAGGTGTATGCACAGTTGTTGTTTGATGTGTTTTTCTGTTTTCTTTAGTGTGTTGTGAAAGTGTCATCAACGATTCATTTTGAAACGCGGTTGATTCAAAGGTGGTTACTGTTAGTTTGTTAGGCTTTGGATGAAGTTTATCATTATCTAGCATAGATGTACATTGTGTTAGGGATACTTTTTGAATAGACGCGTTTTTCTCTCTACTGATTTCATCATCAATCTTAATCGAGTTTGTCATATTTTTATTGTGTACAGAATTTCTAGATGCATTGTCTCCAATATTTCGGATCATTATTGATAATAATATTATTATTCATACGTCATGCTCGTTTCCATTTCTGTTGAAACTAATTTCCAACTAAAAATCAAATAATAATAATCAAATAAACAAATGTTCATAAAATTGCAGTTCCTCGGTGACAACATCAGCGAAATAAAAACACAGCAAACACCTGAAGAATGCAGTTAAAAGAGCTTATTATGCAGCAGAGCTACATTGTCTACTCACAACCACCTCTATTCTATGTTCGAGAAATAAAGATAAACTACCTAAATTTGCCTCTTCTGTGTGTATCTACCAGTTTGAATGCAGATGCGGAGCCAGCTACATTGGGCGTACAATTAGGCAGGTTCATCATCGTATTTCCGAACATTATCCAGCATGGTTAAGCAAGGGACAAACAAGATCTATTCGTAGTTTTATTGTTGATACTGAGCATAAGGTTGACGTTAATACTCCATTTAAAATTATATTTATCGCATTCCGACTAATCTTAATTTTGCTCTACGAGTTCGTCTTCTACATACAGCTGAAGCAATAGGAATTCACCTGAAGAAGCCAAACCTGTCGGTGTTCAGAAGAAATTTGTACAGCCACTTTCCTTACCTTGGCCATCGTTACAAGAATGCATAAACAGGACTATGTCGCCCCCCTCCCCCTAAACCTGTAAAAACTATAAAAATTATAATTGTACAAATTATTTTATTTTAATTTATTTTGACCACTTCATCTTTAAATACGATTTATTGTTGTAAAATTAATTTATTCTAACCATTTCTACCTAGCATCGTTTCAGTAACAGGCGGACGGAATTGACGAGGATATCAAAGCAAGATTCGCAAAAGCAAGACAAGCTTTCACTACTCTCAAGTCAGTGTGGAGGTCAACAGCACTCAGCATCAAAAATAACATCCGGATTTTCAACTCCAATGTGAAGTCAGTGCCACTTACTAAACGGATCAGAGACTTGCACTGCGCGTCATAAAGAGCATCTCAAACAAACTACAGACATTCATTAACAGCTGCCTTCCCTCAATACTCAAGATCAGATGGCTGGCCAGAAAAGATCAGCAACAGACATCTCTGGGAGCGAACCAACCCAGCAGGAACCGATTGTGAAACAAATATGCAGGAAGAAATGGAGGTGGATTGGCCATACTCTGAGGAAACAAACCATCAAGTGACATCACACGATTGGCCCTTGAGGGGAACATGAAAGGGACGCGGCGAGTTGGTCGTCATTGCAAGGGTGACTTGGAGGAGGTCATGTGCAGAGGAGATGAAAACATGTGGGCAGAATTGGAGCCAGTTGAAGACTCTAGCAGAGAACCGAACTTAATGGAGACGCACGGTTGAAGCCCTATGTTCCTCTAGGTATTAAAGGAAACAATAATGATAATAATAATTTCTACCTTTTAGAAGTGTATTGATTTTCTGCGTTAATTATCAACCCATTGACATTTTGATACTGTTTAATTATTGTTAACAAACATATCACCGCTTGATTGGTAAACCGTTGTGCATTGTAATAAAATGCTATACTTGTATATTAGAGTAGAACCAGAGATGAGGATCTAATTGAAAAGTAAATATTTCTTCACTCAATCTTTCTGTTTTCTAAATGTCTAAATGATGATTTTTCTATATTGAGATCAAATAAAAAAAAACAGGAGAAAATATGTTTTAAAAATGCCAGTCAGTTATAAAAGCGACCTACAGAAGACTATCATCATGTATATTTCAGTTTTTATTGATCCAGATTGAGTAATTTCTGGGTCATTGGAAAATAAGGTGGTGATGTGTACAGTGAAACACATTATTTTCAATTAGCTGCAAGACACCTTTAAATAACAACAACTAATATGAATTAATTTTATGGCAAGACTGAACCTCTGGTATTCTAACAAAAAATGGGATTTATGGGGACTGTGAATTCAATAAATTTTAGTTGGCAGATTTAGTCAAGAACCAGCATCAGTTAGAGAGACCATTGGAAACGAGAGAGCACTAGATAGATGCTTCGTCCTTTTTGGGACTCTTCGACAGTACCCTCCTACTACCCCGTGAGACATTAAATCCAGGACCTTCAGATAATGAGAATGAGACGACTGATCATCATCCAGCCACTTTGGCTGGAATCCGGTTGATCGTGAATTCTTACTTTGTCTTCTCTAACTAATCTTGGTTCGTGAGAAAGTCTAACAGTTCAGAATCCCCGAAAATTTCATAATCTAGATATATGATCTCCACATCATTGATGACTACTAGATGAATGTCCTGAAGCTGTAAGTAACAAGAAGTCATGACCACTGGGGTCCACTATGTCATTGTGAAGTCAATGCCCATCTAGGATATTCACGAGAACATCACCGTATTACTGATTGACAGAAACTGATAATAATAATAATTTGCTTTATTCCAAAACAGTACTTGTGATACAGAATGGAATTCTCAGCACTTCACTACAGTATTGCGCATCCAGTTAGCGCATTAACAATAAATAAAATTCTACATAGATTATGGGTAATCTCAGTTAGTTTTGACAACAACATATTAGCCATTCGGTAGCAAAGCCAAAAGTGAACAGAGTGTTCGAAGGTGTTAGAAAAGTAGACGCTAGCATATATACTGGCGTAAGTGGTAACAAAAAGGTCGAGATATACAGAGTGTGAAAGAACGAAGAAGAATGTTTTAAGTAGAGTTTGTAAGGAAGAAAGAAACAAAGTAGCACATAACAGAAAAAAGAGAGAGAGAAAAGGAAAAGGAAAAAAGAAAACGTTGTACCTATAAATGATATGAGTTGGAAAGACGAGATCCAATTGTCCTACTGACTATTTAATAAGTTATAAGTATCACGCCTAACGCCTTCTTTAACGCCTTCTAAGTAGGGTATGGTTGAGGTTTGTACTTGCTAGTGCGAGCATATAGTTTTCTATATAGGCTTAGACAGCTGATTTCCTAACTATGAAAAATTTGGATTGTAGAATATTTAAAACTTTTCCATTATGGGTAAAATTTATTTTGATAAAGTCTCACAGTGTTATACAGTAATGTTTACTGATGACCATGTTTCGAGCACAATTTACTGCTGCTCCTAATCATATGAAGACACTACTCACACAACTTTCTAACTTCGTTTATATAATTCTATTATTTTCCATCGCTTCAATTGATTGGTAGTAGTTTTTTTCATATTTCCGGTATGAGTTATGAGTCATTGCATCCTATTGCACTTGTTGGGTGTAGACCCGACGAACAAGGATTCAGTAATCAATCTGTCTCTCCACCTACCTATATTACATCTTATAATTCTGACCCTCTCCCACCCTATTGTGTGATTGTGTGTTAATGCATGCAGTACAACTGCTGAGCTTTTTCTAAACTACTTATCTTCTCGAGGTCAACCATTCTTACCTTAGCTAAATTCTTATCTTCCGACAATCTAACTACCCCCCATCTACTAGTTTGGGCTATATGGTTGACCTCACTCACAGTGATTGGAAGGTATTTTGTAAAGTATATTATTCTGTCTAATTGGGTCAACCGACAGGGTCCTTTAACCTACAGAACCTGACCTAGCTGAGTGAGTTTGTACGTTTGAATGAGACCCTATTTTCTGCTTTATTAAGAATCCTACGTAGGGAGGGTCTCAGATGTTCCCTACTTATATGGTATAACAGTAGATGCCTTACATTCTCTCTTATTTATGTTATCATCACTAGTTTCACAATTATTTTTATTTTGCTTTTGACCTTTTCTCACCTTTCTAAATAATTTTATAGGATAGTTATTTGATACCAACACTTCTTCTAACTGTTTTATTTCATCAATTAGGTTTTTTCTTGTACTACTTAGTGCTACTACTCGGTTCGTTAGCGATGAAAAATAATGGAATTATATCAACGAAGTTAGAAAGTTGTGTGAGTAGTGTCTTGATATGATTATGAGCAGCAGTAAATTGTGCTCGATACGTGGTCATCAGTAAATATTACACTGTATAACATTGTGAAACTTTGTCAAAATAAATTTTATCCATAACGGAATTATAATCTACAACCACAGTGCACAAGTTTTATTACTATGTCGATTTAAAACGATTATTTATCCTTCAACGATGAAATGAAAATAATATGACATCATATACATCCAAGTTTGGTATAGAGATCATAATTTTAGTTATCATATCAAACTTGTGCAGCATATTCCACAAGAACGGTGACCAGTAGCGGAATGTAGGAAGACACCGAGCATTTGCGTGGAGTATAATCATTCGACGGGAAATGCAAAATAACCTAAAAGCAAATAAAGTGGAGGGAGCACAGTTCAGAAATAGATGCTTTCAAGAAAATTCGTTCAGTGTATACCAATTGGCTTCATGTTAAAATGCTGAAGTCGAATATTTAAGCGGTATTTCGCCGAAATGTGAGCGAATCTCAAGGATTACACTGAATATCTAGTCTTTAATGATCGTTTTCTCAGGAGAGTTCAGATGAAGTTTTGCAAATTTCGAAGCCTGTTTAATTATTAAGTGATAATAGTTAATTTTATATGGTTGGTTTGTACGGATTAGTTTTCTTTTACAAGATGATCACGGATTGATATCAGTTAGAGAACCATTGAAAACCAGTACTGGAGTACTGGGTGGCTGTTTCATCCTAGTTTGGGAATCATCATCAGAACGCACCCACTTCCAGGGTTCGAACCTAGGACCTTCCGGTTACAAGGCAAGCTCGTATACCATTCAGCCACTGAGAACCGATTCATTGGTTGGGGTCTCGCTGAATCATGAATTGGTAGAAGTTAGAATTCATGAGCCATTGAATCGGTTCCCAGTGGCTGAATGGTAAACGAGCTTGCCTTGTAACCGCAGGGTCCTGGGTTTGAACCCTGGCAGTGGGTGTGTACTGCCGATGATTCCCAAACTAGGATGAAACAGCTGTTCAGTACTCCAATGCTGGTCTCCAATGGCTCTCTAACTGATAATAGTTAGTTAATCTGCGTTGCATGACCGAAATTATTGTATTTGGTATCTCCAAAAGTCTGCAGACTTTATCAACAGCTGCCCTCTTCTCTCCATA